CCGACGGTGACAGCCCTGTCACTGGCCTCGACCGGATTTGTAACAAGCTCGGGTCAAGGGCGCGGGCACCTCCCTCATGGCCTTGTCCAACTCATGGAAGCGACCAGCGCTCGTCGCTGCGGTCTTCATAATACTGTTCCTCCTGCTGCGACGGTCGAGTATTGCGCCTGGCACTCCCGAGGTGGCACTTACTGCGGAACAAGGTCAACCCGCTCGATCATATCCTCCCCCCAAAGCCCCGAAGGCAGCTCACGAAGCTCAACAGCTCATTCATGATGTGCCGAGAAAGTCTCTCGATGAAAAACTGCGATACCATTTCCCCTACGACATCGAATCCAAGTTCCCCGCGTACATATGGCAGACGTGGAAATATGGACCTGACTCGGGAAAATTTGAAGAGAGGTTAAGACCGTTCGAGGCATCGTGGTCCACCCTCCACCCTGGGTTTGTCCATGAAGTCATCACAGATGAGGCCGCACTGCACGTCATTAGTTACCTATACGCGTCGGTACCGGAAGTTGTTGAAGCATACGAAGCCATGCCCCTTCCTGTCATCAAGGCCGATTTCTTCCGCTACCTCATCTTGCTCGCTCGTGGGGGGATCTACAGCGACATTGACACCCAGGCACTGAAGCCCGCCACCGAGTGGCTGCCCCCCAACCTGGACACGTCTACAGTTGGGTTGGTGGTTGGGATTGAGGCTGATCCTGATAGGGAAGATTGGAACGACTGGTATGCTAGGAGAATACAGTTCTGCCAATGGACAATTCAATCGAAGCCGGGACATCCCGTCTTGCGAGACATTGTGGCCACCATCACCAAAGACACGCTCCGAATGAAGGAGGCGGGAAGCCTGCGCAAAGGTAAAGAACCGCCAAAAAGCATCATGGAGTACACTGGACCAGGGGTTTGGACAGATGCACTCTTCTCATATTTCAACGACCGTGAGTACTTTGACTTCAGCGCCCGGGGGACGAACGTGTCATACTCGGACTTTTTCGACATCAGGGAGCACAAGAAGATCGGGGATGTCGTTGTGCTCCCCATCACCAGCTTCAGCCCGGGTGTTGGCCAAATGGGCGCTGAGGGGCCGGATGACCCAATGGCCTTTGTGAAACACGAATTTGATGGTATGGCTCTCCTGAACATCTTGTGTTGCGTCTTCCTGCATCCGCTAACAAAACCGCAGGATCTTGGAAGCCAGAAAGCGAACGCATGAAAGATGGCTGATAGTGTGCGAACCCTGACAACAAGCTCCATGAACATAAACTTTGACGGCCGACTCTTAAGTGCGTGGCGTTTTATCTGTATAATGGGCCATTGAACGCCCTGGATGGTCATAGACATAGAGAACCACATCAACTACGGACAGGAGGAGTGTTGGCACACGGACCGCACAGCACATAGCAATGCGCACGAATACGTATGAATGTGAGCAAGAATGTCCTTCTCGCATTCGGACGTGCTTCTTGGTCTGTAAAGCTGCCGAGGGCAACAGTAATTCTCAGGGACAGCCACGCCGCACGATGCGCCACCAGCTTGCGTCTTATTTTATTTGATGCCCGAGTCTTGACAGCCGTGACAGCTCAAAGTCCCGCAGCAGTTGAGCTACTCTAGGATCGAGTTGCCGTTTCGGAGCTTCATAGCGCGGCAGCAATAGGCAAAGTGTTGCCGAAAGGAGCATCTTGCCAACGCTCTGCCCTTTCCCATCCCACGCCCTGGTCCGCAATACGTCGCCAGGTCGGTGGCAGCTCGCCTGTTTTGTCTTGATCGGTTCCAACATGGCTTGGTGGTTGTTTCATCGCCTCATCCACTCGCGATCGTTCGCCTCCACTCACAACAGTGACGTGATGCGCGGCGAGCTGGCGTCTCGCTACGAGGCGACTTTGACGCATCTGTGCTAGGGACTAGTTAGGTACTGGGTAATCGCCCGTGCTCCATACTGCACGCTCTGTCACTAGCAAACTGCTGGCGCAGCCGGGCAGGTGGGTAGGAGGCGGGCTGCGCTGCTCAGTCACCGTCTCCTACAGTAACTGCATCATTGTGCGATCTTGCGTCTGTTTGTCTTCTTCACTTGTTTGCTCCTTTCACACCTGTGCCTGTGGCTGCTCCGGTGCCTTTTCCCACACTCCCCATTGCACGTCCCTGCAGTGATCCTCGTCTCCTCTGCAGCTAGCCAACATCACTGCCTCACCGCTAGAATCCCGTTGCCTTGTAGCCCCTCCTCTGGTCGCAAACTGCATGCGGTCGGCCACCACCACTACCACATCCTCCTCCTCTCGCTCGCCATGATCTCCCGGTTCAACGACCGATAGTATCCTTCTCCCAAAACATGCACACTGGCTGCTCCGATGAGCACAGCGACGCTTCAGACGCCGCAGCAACAGCAGCCGCAGCGCGCGGCTTCCGCGCAAGGTCATAGGCAGTTCCTGCGCACCAGCAATCCTCACAACACAAGAAGCGCGTCTCATCCCCATCCCAGCCGCCAGCACGAAAAAGATCAGATCCAGAAACATGCCGATCCAGCCCGATCCAAGGAGGTTATGCCGCCCGAGGATGTCTCCAGGCTACCAGAAGAGAAGGGCCTGGGCAAATCATCGCCGTCCCTCAAGCTCTCAGATTTCGAGCTGATGAGGACGCTGGGAACTGGTACGCCAGGAAACTCGTTGGCTTCTTGTCGTCGGCACTGACACATTTTCGCGCAGGCACGTTTGCACGAGTCTGGCTATGTCGCTTTGCCAACCCTCACCCGGAGGACAGGAACAAGGTGTTCGCGCTCAAGGTACTCAAAAAAGTCGACGTGATCAAACTAAAACAAGTCGAGCATGTCCGGAACGAGAGAGATGTCCTTGCAGCCGTGGCCGGCCACCCATTCATCACGACCCTCGTCAGTTCTTTCTCCGACGATACCTCGTTGTATATGTTGCTGGACTATACGCCTGGCGGGGAGATCTTTTCGTACCTCAGGCGCGCCCGCCGCTTTCCTTTCTCGACCGTCCAGTTCTACGCCGCCGAAATCACCCTGATTTTGGCTTACCTCCACGAGGTTCAGTTCGTGGCATACCGCGATCTGAAACCGGAAAACATCCTGCTCGACGTAGACGGGCACCTGAAACTGGTCGATTTCGGGTTTGCCAAATACCTCCCGCCCGCGTCCGAATCATCTTCGGAGAACGGGAACGGTCAGAGCACTACTCTCCAGAAACTAGGTACCGAACACCCCGAACCGCAAGCCAACGGCGCCGGCGTCACCTACACCCTCTGCGGTACACCCGAGTACCTCGCCCCGGAGGTGATACGCAACACCGGCCACGGCACCGCCGTCGACTGGTGGGCTCTGGGAATCCTGGTCTACGAAATGCTCATCGGCCAGCCCCCGTTCTGGGATCAAAATCCCATGCGCATCTACGAGCAGATTGTGGCCGGCCACATTCGCTTTCCGACCGCGCATCCCACGCAGCACGGCCACCGCCATAGTCTCCATGTGCCTCGTGCGGCGAGAGATTTCATCCTCGCGCTGTGCAAGACCGATCCGACGCAACGGCTCGGCCACATTGCTGGGGGCAGCAAGCGGGTCATGTCCCATTATTTCTTCGACGGCGTCGACTGGGACGAGATTTACTACCGAAAACGGCGGGGCCCCATCATCCCCCGGGTGGAGTGGGAGGGCGATGCCGGCAATTTCGACGAGTATCCCGATCCCGTGGAGGGCGAGGAGAGCGAGGGCGGACGCGGACGGTATACGGACGAGTTACGAGCCGAGTGGGAGGAGGCCTTCAAGGACTTTTAGCCCACGCCATGCCAGGATTTTACGTCTTAAATTTGACGACTACGTATTGGAGACGCCGGGGTTCACGGAGGCAAAGAAGGGATCAGGACTTTGGAAGGGGGAAGATAATTGCGTGTGGCATGTGGCGTGTTTCACGTACAATACAGTAAGTAAGTACCTAGACGGGTGTGTTTGTGCTTCTTGGTTGCGCGGTCATTTTCTTCTGTAAGCAGCCAAAGTAGCCTCAGGGTTGGGTCGGCTGGGGTTGGGTGATCTCTTGAGAGAGCTGGAGCTGATGTCCCCCTTCTTCCCTCTCAGTCTAGTCCAGCCGCTGCTCATACAGCTTTGACATATGTAATCATATCAATGTGAAGAAAAATGAAAGACACCTGTTTCTTACGCTGACGGTCTGCCACAGACATGAATACGGACATGATTGACTGAGGTCGAGAACCGAGTGAGGCCATGGAACAAGAAAATATTCCTCTCAAGGCTGTTCGGCCCCGAATGATATCTGACTCTGACTCGAATACGGAGTAGCCACGAGCAATATCCGAGCCATCAGCTGCAGATCGCGCACTCCAGATCCGGTCCGGTAACCGTTCGTGAGCTCTTTCTTGTCCTTTGCCAGCTCACGTTGAAAAAGGCCAAACCTGAGATCGAAGCTAGGTTGGCAACAAACTCATTTCTGGGGAGCCATTGCAAGGGTAAGGCCACATATTGACGCGTGGGACATCAACCGAAGTGAGGTGCCTCGCATGTGGAAAATCGTGCAAAAATGTCGCAGGAGGTAGATTTAACTGCGGTTGGGGACAGGTTGTCAACCACGATATGGTTCTAGAAGAGAGGATGAAAGATGTATGTGTCTATGAGTTTGTCTGTTGTCTCTATCTTGTCGTACACCGGATCAGTTGCTTGGTTGTTCCGACGAGGCTGTCATCACAAATGCAAGGCTGAATCTCGTCTGGAGTCTCCTTTGCGGGGAAGTGTTTGCCATAATCAAGGATGTCACCGTACTCTGTATGCGAGCTCGTCTTCTTCACGCAAAGTCTTCTACTTCGTCTGTGCTTCTACATTGACACAGACAAGCCCAACACAGCTCCCTTTACAGCAGTGCCAATATTAGACGCCTAGCACCCTCCTCTCACCGCCGCCTCAACCTCGCCTTCAGCTCATCTACGTCCGCTGCATCCATAGCACCATGCGCCATATATCCTAGTGGGATGACAACATGGCGCAGCCTACAGATGACTTGATATCTCAGGTGTGCGCGATCACCGCGTTAGACGAGGAGAGTGCAAAGGTGCTACTAAAGGTGAGGTGGAACGTTTGCTGCGAGGCTTCGGTCGAACAAATCCTGACTTGTGCGTGGCTCTAGAAAAACAACAACGATGCCAACAATGCGATTAATGCTTGGCTGGAGAACCCCGAGAGATCGATCATACCAGAGCCGGTAAGCCAGTCGCCAGCTGCGTCAGGTGTTGAGGACTGGTTGTCTAAGGGTGCGTACGCAGGCTCCCTCCAATCACTGGCAGGATCAAGACAATATCCCATGTAAGACGGACGACACATTCTCGACCCGAGCCGTCCAGCTCTTGGACATGATCCACTGATGAAAGCTCTGCGAATAGTTCAAGATGACGCGACCATGGGAGGAATGGCCGGGCTGTCACGGCCGCCTTCTCGAGTCGACAGTTCGCGGCTGGACCTATCTGGGGAGCATGCCGCAGCGTCTACGAGCAATGTCAAGACCCTGAAAGAGCAAGAGGAGATGAACGACCCAGACATTCAGCGAGCCATGGCCGAATCACTCGGGCAGACCCTGCCAGCACAAGAGAATGGAGTCACGCAAACCGGAGCAACGTTCGGCCCTGCGAAGCGAGATTACAACTACGAACCAAACAGCTGGGCCCTTACCACGTATTCGACCTCGCGCGAGATCATCGAACATCCACCACCCTCCAAGAGGCGAAGGATAGGCGATGCACCGGCATTCTTACGTGGCTCGAAGGAAACAGGCTACCTAGGGCCTTTGCTTACCATCTACCACAACATCCCACTTGCACGAGAGGCTCTCCTGATGCCTGCTTTGAGGGTCCACGCCTATGCCCACGACAATAGTTGGTGGTCTGGAGCGACCGACGAGAACACGAAGGCCCTGTCCACCGACAATACTCTTCGCATCGACCAGAACGAGTGCAACCTGCTTACCGAAGTCCAGTGTCTCATGGCTTTTCTTGACAGGACGACTCGCGCCTACGGTAGTGTTGATGCCCTGGCCGACCTACAGGCTGTCCGCAACGGAAATGGCGATACGCTATTTCACAAATTCCTCGAGGCTTGGGGTTCTGCGGCCCTTAAACAGGCTCCTCAAGAGCAGCTCACCCAGGTCTTCAGTTCCATAGCCGTGAAGGCCAACGGTCCGACCGACGACACGGCTGTCGAGAAGACGCTGTACTGTGTCGACCCTTTCATCAACCACCACCCGAACGAGACACTCACAGACCTGCTTGACAACACCATCTGGAATGATGAGATTGGCAATATTGATGACGTGTGGATCAGTCATTGTGCCGAAATATTTACTGTTCGACTGCAGGAGCCGAACACGGCCTCCAGGACTGTTGACATTAGCCTCGATCCGGTGTGGTATGCCGATCGTTACATGTACGACTGCAGAGAGGAAATGCAGCAAATACGCAGACAAGTACAGGCGATCCGGCGGCAAATCGAACAACTGACTCATATGCAACGCCGCTGCCAACTCTTCAACTCGAATAACCGGGCCCTAGACGTGGGCGAGGTCCTCAATGCTGCAGTCAAAGCGGCCAGCGTGGCAGCGAGCAGGAGCTCTGCGTCAAACGGCTTTCTTGATAGCCGGTCGTCTGAGTCGGGGAACACAGTTACACAGTCTGACGTGGAGGAGCTCAACTCCGAGTTGCAGGATGTGCTTTCAAAGATCCGTCAGAGGTTGGCGCTCCTGGAGCAAAAGAAGGATGAGCTTCGTGCAAGGAGCCGTCAAATCACAATGCAACTGACCATGCCCACCCCAGAACGTCCGGACGTCCCACATCGTAAGTACACGCTTCAAGGCGTTGCCACCAAGCCGGGAGTCACCTACTTCCGCCGCTTGAACCAGAACATTGATCTCCTGGAACCGGACCACCTGGGTGAGGAAGGAATGGGTTACGAATGGTGGAAGGCCTCTTGGCGGCAGGAAGAGGTTCAACGCGTACCACTACATCCACCCTTAGTCGGGCCCGTCACCCTGGCACAAGCCGCAGGTGGAGGCAATTCAGATCTCGGCAGCTCGACACCGTGGTCGATAGACCGTGTCTTCGAAACCGATGTCCTGGAAGCCGTCAAGACGGAATACAACTCCGTCCTGCTCGTTTACGCCAACGAAAACGCCGTGCGTTTCCGCGGCAGTGGGCTGAGTCTGGCACTCCGACACTTTGTCGACCGCGATAATCAGGCGTTTGCAGAGGATTTGCAGCAAGAGATGGGCCCGTTACCTGCATCATCTGCTGATCGCGAAGCCGAGGCTGAATTTGAAGACGTTCCCCTGATCGATCCAACGAGGTCCAGCAGCTCAGTGCGTGAGCTGACGCCCATGTCGACCTCGAGCCCGGACCAGGACGAAGAGGGTCAGCCGTCACTCAAACGGGCGAAAGAGGGTAGCACAAGCGACCTTCTTGAACAACCACCTTCGTACGAAGAAAGCGTCGGTAAACACGAGATGACTGAGAAAAAAGAGAATAAAATCGGGCTCTATGCGGAGAAACTGCTCCAGCGCTACGGAAGCGAGACCGACAAGGTAACAGGCGAGAAGGACAACAGCGGCGACTTCTTGCATGTCGAAGATTCGCGGTGAAAGCCTTCTCGCAGAGACTTTACCGCGGGACCAATGAACCAATATCTTGCACGGCTGACGCTGGCTGGGATAGAACGTGGTGAGAGAAGCGACTGGGGTCAAGGTGATATCTGTCTGGAACTCTTTTCCGCTGCTAGGAAAGCCAGCGAATTATTTCGAACACTCCATGTTTCAGAGCAGTGTTCGGCACGTTTCTGTAGCACATGGCGGAATCTAGAGGTCACACAGTGAGGGATGAAACCGGCTGGAGAATGGCAAGTTGGGGTTACACAGCATATTAGCAGTCGTCCGCTCGGCTGCCACGTGTTGCGAAACCCCGTCGAGGCCATGTGACACAAGTTGTCGTTGAATGTTGATCGGTGGGCAACGACTCTCGAGGGACAGACAGGGTCATGGTCCTGCACAGATTTGGCGACGCTGCGGGAAAGCTATGGTTGCCTGGCGATAGTCAGGCTTGATGCGGGACAAGCTTGTATTGGCACGCTATCAATCTGCAGGAATTGCACACTCAGCAAACACTGCCAATTCGGGGGAGGTTAAGTCTCATGACCATTCATGGAGAATCCTGGTAGAGATCAAACAGGAAAGAATGATGGCCGGATCAGGAGAGGAAGCAAGTGAAAGTGTGCATGGCGCAAGTTGAAGTCGCTCTCTGAGGCACTAGGACTGTCAGCTGGCGCCTTGTTGCCCCGTCCTGCTCATTCTGCTCATTCTGCCCATCTTCATGTGACTGGAGTTTCCCTTTGTCTTTTCGAGGAAATCACTGCTTGGGGCCTCGGAGTGTAACGCGAGCCACACAACGGCGACTTGCGAGTGCTTTGTTTCGGCGACGCCACCACCGCTGGCGAGAAGGTAGAATCCCAACAGCAAAGTCTTTGCCCGCCTCGGACAGCCAGTAAGCGCAGCATTTGTAAACAGCTAGAACTGGCACTGCCTCACTGCCGCTTGCAACAACAGCGATAGGGATTCCAGCAACCCGTGCACGCCGGTGCAACGCCCTAAGTCGCACTACGGAAATGCACAAGCTGATTCCGGGCACCCTATCAAGGGTTGGATTTGCAGCATCTGCCGCGAGCTAGAGTCAGATGCAATGCGTGTTTGAAGATCGTCGGACTTTTAGAGCATGCAGCCGGTACGAGTACAGGAGGGCCAGAGGGGGCGCCAGAGGGTAGTGGGGGGGGCGCTGCCCAGCTTGCCCCTCGCTACTCGCAACTCCCAGGTACCGAGCACGACCGGGGTTTGGCAGGTCGGACCCAGCAGAAAGGATACCGCCTTCTTGGGGGACGCGCTTGTGAGCTGCAGTCGACGTCAAAGTCACCAGAAGTAACTTTGGGCCGAGGCCTCCGTCATGTCGCTCCTTCGAGGTGTGGAAGTCCCGATATCGAGCGCGGCGGTGATCGAGAGGGGCTAGTATTGCTCATCCGCTGGTGCGCAGAAGGCTGGACGGAGTGCTGGGAACAAAGTCTAGTGTGGTAGCACAGCGTTCACAGTCCGGAGCAACCGCCAATTGCTGTTTCAACTGCACCCAATCGGATGTTCAGCAGCAGTGAATAGGACAGTCAAGCGAGTCACCTCCGAGCGTTCGTGGCTATGTACCCAGTAGAGGCTGAACTGGCGGTCGAGATAGACCGAATCAGCACATGGCACTCGTCTGCACGTTTTGTAGACCTCTGTACACAGTAGCGGTGCTGCAAGGAAGAACCCAGAGTTTGGCCCTGGCCGATCCCGTCGACGAGACTCCTTCCCCGAATGCGCGGTATTGGAACATCCAGCCGCCTACCAAGAGCGCGACTGTTATCGCCAGTTGGGCCGAGATGCGTTCTTGGGAGGGTGGAAGAGGACTAGAGCCAACGCCCTATAGCCGGGCAACAGGGATCTGGGCAATAACCCAGTGGGCCACCCGGGGTTGAGGACATGCATCCTGGACCAAGCAGACCATGTCGAGGCCTACCGGGTACCTTAGTTTGGAGGGACCCAAGAGGGGGACGGACGGCTGAGATGAGTGCGCAACAGCCGCTAATTACTGTACTCGTACTCAGTACGGAGTACCTTTGGTGCTTATCACACTACTCACGAGGTACCTAGCTCCCCGAGGCCTGCCTGAAGCAGGCCGTGGACGGCGAGTCCTGGGTAAGACTAGGCGGTCCTTGGTGATGCCGGGGCGTGGTTGCTTCAGCAGGACGAGGCCACCCAGAGAGTCCCCGGCGAACAACAGTGACTCCCCGTCTGCAAGAGCTGTCGAAGCCATGTATGCACCCAAAGGAAGCCCCCAGAATCAGCCAACAGAATGAGAACACAGACACACGGTGACTAGCGCAACAGCTTGTTTGAAAGTCCAGCATCGGCTTCTTGACGGCGACTTGGGTCCAAGCCTGGCTTCTGCCGCCTTTACGCTTGGATCTCCCTGCGGCAACCAACGGGGGAGCGCAGTTTATCACACTTCGGCTCATGAGGCTTCACTCGTTGGCTGCGTTACTATCGCAAAAGGACACAAGCGTGATTGACCCCATCCCTTTGACAACTCTGACCGGTCCCACCCACGGCGCGCAGATTGCCTTGCCACATCCACCATACCCAGTACAGCCGCGATCCTGACGACGCGGACTGTGCGCAACAGTCCGAGTGGTATCAGATTGTCGGATCTTCGATTGCCGGCGACGACACTGGTGAGCTACGTGCGTGTCCAGGACCTGGCCGTCGAAGCGGATACCTGATCCTATGCAGAGCGCCGACTGCACGGTCCCGAGTTGACAGCGATGGACTGACATTTCCTTGAGCTTAGGATCCCCACCCTCTGTCCAACCACAAAAGCCAATGTGAATGCTGGCAACAATGGCTAATTAGCACGGAATCATCATGGGCATGTCGATGCAGGGCCCCAGACGCTGTCACCTCCACGACGTCCTCGATCGACCGGCATCCGAATCCCAGTCCTCCGTTCGCAGCCTTCCCGAAATCGGTCTCTTCATGTGATGATCTGCCAGAGACTGTTCATATCTGCAGTCAATCACACCTGCTCCCCACCGATCCTCTCGAACCTCTGCATATCCTCCGTCCTCGTACCCGTACGGGGTATCTCGACTCGGCGGTCCGCTAGAGGCTTACATACTTCGGGAGAGCAATGTTGAGGCACAAACCCCTCCTCGACTTCGACCAGTGAGCACCAAGAAATAGCTCCGTATGCCATGCGGCCTCCTTAGCGTGGTGTATCGCTTGCCCAGTGCCCGGCTTCATCCCCACCACCCGGTCGCCGCGCGATCGCGAATTGTATCTCACCCAGCCCATCCTGCGCCTCCAGCTTGGCCTTCGGCTCCATCTGCAAGCCTCCACGGTGCCGGATTGGCACGATTGATCATCCTGGCGTCTGCCAAACACAGACTTTCACCACGCCTAGCCATTCTTTATCGCTCCTATCGACAGGGCCACTCGACGCTTGCCAAAATATTCCGTTGTCGTTAGAGTCGCGATTCCACTGCACCTTGGACTTCCTGGCAATCCTGAGCCTCTCGCCTCAGCTCCTTCTTGCTGATTGTCCTCCATCCCTTTCCCAGAGTTCCTACTCTCGTTATACATCCTCCTAGTTCGAAGCCTTTGATATCGCGATCGTCCTTGCGCTGGCTTCTGATCTTCGTTCGGCTGCTGTCCCACTTCACCCTCCTCGGTTCAACTCGCTTTGCGACGGATCCAGTGCTAACGGGACGGTGTTGTATACTGAGCCTCGCTCCGGAAGGCGTCCTCGTCAAGCGTCACTCGTCACCTGGCATGTCAGCATCGAACCGATAACAATCTCGCTTTTGCGCCGGAAACAATCCGAGCCGTCGTGTCACCGTTTCAGGTCTCACGGTATTACTGCACCGGTTTCCCAGCCAGTGACGCATAGTCTCTTTGATATCAGACTCTTGACTTCCGGTACATGACCCTCAACGGCGCTCTGGAGCTCGAACTCGGAGATCGAGACGGGTCGAATACACAGTAGCGGAAATTCCAGCTCTGATTTAGTTGCGTGCTGGTGCCACTTCGTCCGCACTCAACTTCACCGGAAACGAGGGAGTGGTCCTTGGACCATACCTGACCCGAAATTCATCGGACGACCACGTCACTCGCCTCAAATCGGTTTCATTGCGTCGACCAGGTCGGACGCGCTGCACTTCCCCTTGCCGCGCAAAGCATGACTGCGATTGCTCTCAGCCCTCTCGAAACACGCATACTCTCCAGCTTCGCAAATACATACGCCATGGCCTTGCCCCCTACAGGTATTGAGGTTGCCGCGGCGGACAGACGGATGTCGAGCGCGAATGAAGCCGCTCTGGCGGCGCTGCCAACCATTATGCTGCGACGCCTCCCACGGCATACCAGTCCTGAGGCAGTACGCACCATGCTGTTGTTCGCCAAGGACCTACAAGATACAGAAATCGTCCCGAACGAATACGACGAGGACGTCGGTTTTGCGACCGCAATCGCCCGATTTTCCTCCATCGCCGGTGCGTCCGAAGCCCAAGCGATGCTGGATGGCAAGCCCAACACAGCCGGGCAGGCCAAAATGATTGTGGAGGTCATATCAATTCCATCCATGGCCACGATCCCCCGGCGCAATACAATTGATCCTCTCTCAGGCCGCAAAGTGGCACAGCCGGTGTCACCTCCCATTACCAGCGCTCAGAAGTCGTCCCGCTTCAACGGCACCTTTCAGGCCATGGACAAGACGTCTCCCCCATTGATCGGATCGCCCCTGGAACATGCCACTTCCGACAGTTCGCAATCACAGGCGATGTTCTCGTCTCTGTCGCCCGTGGCCAGCGCGATGGCGGACCGGCCCAGGGCGAGCGGCAAAAAGGTCATCGATGAGGATGGCGCAGATGATGATACAGGCGAGCTCATCAAGGACCCACTGGCATATATGCATGGCTCTTCTACGAATGGCGCGGCGAAGAAGCCGACGAGCCAACACATGCCGACGGCAGCATTTTCGGCGCTTTCTTTGAACACCAATATCGGCAATGGCGCGGCGAGCAACTACGTGTCCCCACGATCCACCGTTGGGCCCAGAACACCTCACTCACAATTCCCCACGATGGGTCCTAGCGGGCCCTACCCGCAACCTTTCATCCGACACAATTACCCCCCGGTCAATCCCGCCGACCAGAATCCGCCATGCAATACTCTTTACGTCGGGAATTTGCCGATTGACACATCCGAGGATGAGTTGAAAGCTATGTTCTCGAAGCAAAGGGGTTACAAAAGACTGTGCTTTCGGACCAAACAGAACGGGCCCATGTGTTTTGTGGAGTTTGAGGACATTTCATTCGCGACGAAAGCTTTGAATGAATTGTATGGCGCGCAGCTCCACAACAGTGTCAAAGGCGGCATTCGCTTGAGCTTTTCCAAAAATCCACTGGGGGTGCGAGCGGGCCAGCCTGGCAGCAACAGCCCGCCCACGCCCTTGAGCGCCGCTGGACCACTGGGCGTCAATGGGTACACGAACATGACGCCTGGTGGTTTCTCTACAGCCAATGGACCTCCACCGGGGCTTTCGGCACCACCTGGACTGAATATGGGCGTCGCGAGCGGAGGGGTTCCCCAGGCCGCGTTTGTCAACCAAGGCTTCTCGGTCGGCAACTCCCCCGGGCCTAACATGCGGGGGATACCTATGAGTAATGGCGCTCAAGCGCCGGGAATGGGTGGCATGTACCCTGATTACATGCTTGGGAGGTAAAGGGAAGGATCCTCGATCCTGGCGCAGAGGGATGAGTGGGTTTTGAGTGCCCCTTCCACCGGACGCATCATTCCGAGTCTCGGGGCCCTTCGGATGCTCTGCGTAGAGTTACCCGATAGTGGGCAGTCCTCTGTTCACTATCAGAGGTTGCTATCTATGTCGGCGAACTGGGTCAGAATCAGTGTTGGTGGGGTTGTTGTTGTTATGTGATTTTCAGCACAAAGATTCCCCTTTCAGCAATCAACGAGCGGACGGGCAAGCGAACTGGCGTTTACATTGAGCTTGAAGCGGCAGACTTGGACAGCAAGGGGGAACCACAGACACCGGAGAAGGAGGACAAGGTTTATTCATCATGTGCTCACTGTCATTATCGGAACGTTGTCATTGGCATCGTCGCACTGGGTTGGCCTAGGGAGTGAGGACCACCTTGAGGTTTGTTTATTGTGTGGGAAAGTGGCTTTACGAGCAATGGGAGGATTGTCATGGCGGGTGTGAGACATGCATTGCGCCGGAATGGGATGCGACCGGGTTCTCTTGTTGATGATCTTCGATGGCATTCTTGTGCATAGCTTACGACGCGGACATGTCAGTTTGTGGACTTGGTAGAAGGAGGTTGCTCAGGGTCTTCCTGTCGTTCACTCATAGCGAAGCATTCGATTAGCGAGGGCACGATGGATATGGGAGCAAGTGGGCGCATACAAGCATGGACAGGTCCAATGAATTCTGATAAGCTCATTAATTAGCGCTCATTCTCCTCCTGTAATGTTTCTTGCACACGTGGGTGCAGCTCCAGCAGCACCGTGAAGGCCACGGCACAGAAATCCAAGATTCCAGGTGCAGGAATGAAACTGTCCGAATTCTTGATTCTCGCACACGCGTTGAGACGAGACGAGCGCGGTGGTTGGACCAGAGGTGGCTGCGGACGCTGCAGCTGATTCGCGCGCAAAGGTAAAAGAGAAGTGAAGGTGAATGCGAAAGTGAAAGTAGCGCCAACGAAATTGAATGGAAATTGAGCTCGCATAGACCGGTTTGTTTTGCACTTTATCTCGTGCGGCAGGACCGGAGGCAGCGTGCACCCCTCACTTGTCGATGCTTCGACTGTACTCCGTCCATATCCAGCTCTTGTTCTCTTTCTGATTGGAAAGTCGAGACAAATCAGGAAGCCTGAATGAGACTGGGGAAGCGGCTATCCACAACAGCACAGCACAGTAATCGGACTTTGTATCTCGATCGAACCTCTTCGCACCTGTGGCCCATTATCTTCCTTTCCACAGCTGCAGCATCTAGCGAGGCACTTATCACCACTCGTCGACATCCAGCTCGTTCATTCTTTCAAGTTCTCGTGCGCGCTATCAGTTTCCTTGACCTTCAAATGCGCATCGACGAGCACCCGTCTCGGTCAGTGCATGAATGGCGAGCTGCCTCACCCCAGGCATGAGTCGGAATGGGTGTTCCCACACGCCAGCATCTGCCTTCATCACTGAGCTGACACGCCGGCCGGTATGCCATCATCTCGCACCCGGGCACGTCCGCGCATCCCTCTCTTCCGTAGCCTGAGTGCCAATGCGGCTGCTTCAGATAGCGATGTCAGCGCCACGAGCAGCCAGGACGATCGACAAGCCAAGTCCGGCAGCGGGCGTCAGCGGTCGTCGGGCGGCTGGAGTCTGCCCACGCTGTCGACACTCGCCAACTTCAACTTCCATCGCCGCGGGCGGACCAAGTCAGACGCCAAACGGAGAGCTGTAGAGGCCAAAGGCGGGCGAGAGGCCGAGCGGGAGGCCGAGCGGCCTGCAGCATCTGCGTCTGCCAGAGTGTCGCCGCGAGGACAGTCGCCCAATAACAACCCTCGGGCGGCAGCACCAGCCACAAGTGCGGAACCCACGTCTGCGTTTGCCTCTGCTTCTGCCACGGCGCTCGTCGATGCGCCTTCTGCTTCACATTCTCTTCATCATCCCGACACTGATTCTCGACCCAACACCGCAACCATTGCTACCTCTGCTCTTCCCCTTGCTCCTCCGACCAGTAATCATAGTCCCGACGGAGACCTCCGTCCTTCGACTGCGCCGAGCCCTCAGCCCGACTGTCCGCGAGTCTTTGTGCAGCGGCCTTCCACTCCCACTGTGCCAACCGCTGACCCGGAAACATGCAGTCGATATGATCCTGCCGGCGCCATGCAGAGAAAGATATGGGTGAAACGCCCGGGCGCCTCCGCGACACGAGTCGAAGTCGCCGAAGATGACCTCGTGGATAACGTGCGCGATGTCATCCTGCAAAAATACGCCAACTCGCTCGGGCGAAGCATCGACTCCCCAGACATCACCCTCAAAATAGCCAGTCGCGAACAAAACAACAAAAACGTCAGCGCCGAGCGTGCTTTGGGCCCGGAGGAGCCCATCGGCCAGACCCTCGATGCCTACTATCCTGGCGGTCAAACCGTCGACGAAGCTCTCGTCATCGACGTTCCTCCACGCCGAACCACTCCCCGAGCGTCTCCCCGACCCGGCAACCACCATATCTACTACTATCCCGAGCAGTTCCGCCCCGATGAAGCTGCCCGCGAGTACTTTCCTCCCATGCAGCTACACTCTCCTCACCTTGCCCACGTCCCTCACCCCAACTCTGTTCCTCATTCCATGGCCGTTTTGACGACGGGTCAGCTGCCGCCACTGCCGAGTCCTGGCTCACACGGGCAGAGGAGACACGCGAGACCAAAATACGGGAGGCAACACACGAGTAGTCCCACGATCCTTCACACCGTCCAGCCGAACGGCCAGGTCATAGGTATGTCGAAGACCTGCTTCGACACCTGAAAGCTAATGTGAACAGAGTCCAAGGCACCGATCAATGGCCCTGTCCCATCGGCACCACCACTACCAACACCGCCAGCTCAAGGACCGAATGAGCACAAGCCATCGATCACACCTCCCAATCGGGTCTCCTCGCCGCACCCAGGCCAGAAACCGAAGAGAAGGAAAGGCCCTTTTGGTGCCCGGTCCACGAATGGCGATCCCCAGGCCACTCCCAAATCACTTCCCGCCGCTGCAAGCTTGCTGGACGGAACGGTCCCGCCGATTAATGTGTTGCTCGTGGAAGACAATGTTATCAACCTGAAATTGCTCGAGGCCTTCATGAAAAGGCTAAAAGTGAGATGGAAGTCCGCCATGAATGGTAAGGAAGCAGTGTCCATGTGGAAGCAGGGTGGATTCCACTTGGTTTTGATGGACATCCAGCTTCCCGTGATGAACGGCCTCGAAGCGACCAAAGAAATCCGGCGGCTCGAAGCGGTCAACGGCATCGGCGTTTTCAGCGGAAGCCCAATCGAGACTGCCTTGAAACCGCCCACTAAGAATGGCGGCCCCGTGGGCGAGGCAGATGCCCTGCCCGATCGAAGCTTGTTCAAGAGTCCCGTCATCATCGTGGCGTTGACAGCAAGCAGTTTGCAGAGTGACAGGCATGAAGCGTTGGCTGCGGGCTGTAACGACTTCTTAACAAAGGTGAGCATTCGGATCGACTTCCTCTGGGTGCTTGCTAACCCCCTCCATAGCCTGTCAATTTTGTATGGATGGAGCGCAAAGTCACCGAGTGGGGATGCATGCAAGCCTTGATTGATTTCGATGGCTGGAGGAAATGGAAACAGTACGCCGACGAAAAGGCAGCCGAAGATCCCGCCAAGAAGGCAGCAGAGGAGAAAGAAGAAAAGGCCAAAGCAAAGGCGGCGCTCAAAGCCATGTTCTCAAGACCTCCACCTACCACGAAGAAGGAAAAGGATAGCACGAGCACGGGGTCGACGAGCACTGTCGAGAGAGCAACAACTCCCGTACAGAACGGAACGCCCAAGAAGGGTGGCGGTCCAGGCGCTGGCTCCAGTGCCCGAAGCCATAAAAGCACCCGGAGCAATGCCAGCGGAGGTGGAGGAAACTTGGAGAGTATGGCAGAGGAGGATGAAAACGGCAAATCATGACAGAAGTGCACGGAAGTACGCAAAGGTCTTATATTGTCGACTGCGCTGGAACCCACCGACCTTGCGGGGGTTTCCTTATTCTCTCTCGTCCGTGTCAGCAATTGCAGCGAGCATCATATATGGGAGTTCAAGGCCGACGGGAAAATATTCACTGGGAGGTCAATTTTTCCTTTGTTTTGAGAAGCGCGTGCATGGCGGATTCCACCGGATGACCGGGTCTATATCGAGACGGTCGTGAGGCGTTATGGAGGGCAACAAGGGCTATTTGTTGTTGGTACCGCATTTCCCCTACGACTTGCAGCACATATAGTGAGCGTGGCGTTCGTCTTTTTTTTAACCTTTCAGCCATGCTCCAGATTCTCGATGAATGATGAGTTCTATTCACCTTTTTCATCTAAGACGGTTTTTCTGGGACCTTTGCGAAGCGAAGCTTTCGGAGAGAACTGTGCAGATTCTGGCCCAGTACCTACGTACAGTACACACGGTGGCGTGCGCGCTCGCGAGCAACATAGGTGGCAGAGCGGCATGGCAGGGCAGGGCACGGCTGGTATGAAGCCACCTTGCGGACGCCTAGAAGACACCGACAGGCAGGGAATGAATTGCGGTCTCGAATCCAGAACTGGGTGACAGCCACAATTGACCCGAGGACCATCTACATCGAGATCCATCGACCGGGGCCGACACATCTGGACACTAGGTGAGGAGGAACCTCCGCTCAAAAGAACGAGAGCTTGAACAGTGTGTGGCGAGGCTTGTAGTCGTTGGTCGTCAGATGCAGGTCTTGGAGGGAGTCGTCCGTCAGTGCCTGAGTAATGGTTGCACGGTCCAGCTCCGGAGCCATGAATATGAGGCAGGGTAGGCGAAGATCGTAATCAGCAAGTCAATCTTTCGGATCGATAACTTGTGCTCTTCGCCCCATGTCCATCAAGCAGATGAGTAGAAACCATGGATATTTCCCCTTTACAAGGCGAGAGCGAGCTGTCAACCACCACTTGGTCTTCCCCAACTGGTGAGCACGACATGCAAAGAAAAGATATCTCACCAGCCTGGTCGTGGGAGTGATCCCTTGGCGGTTTCGAGATTGTCAAACACACGCTTGGCTTCAGGGCGGGTCGGTACTCAGTGCTGAGGATCGCTCGCCGATCTACGCAGCGGCCGAAGGAGCTGACCGATATAGCGATAGCATGCGGGTCATCTGCCTCACCCCCCTGGAACCAAAACTTCCTTTCGCGTTGCGGGCAGACCCAGCGGCGGAACATCACTGGCCCCCAAGGCATCGGCGGTACCACTGGTTGTTATCTCTGGCTGCTTCAGGGGAGACTCCGCCTGTCCATCGAGCGATATAGGCGAGCCATTGGAGTGCAAGGAATCATATGAGCTGTGGCGCCGGCTGCTGCCTCCAACGAAGACGGTGGACATGCTCGAGGACGACAGTCTCGTGGGTCCTGTGCAGTCAGCAAGTTGGCTTGGTCAACAGCCATGCACTCTGGCGTCGCTCGTGGGCAACCTTTCTGGTATCCTGGTCTCGAGGTGGACGGTGCTGTCATGTCAGTGCATTGAAGACAACGAGTCCTCGTGATGGGGCCTATTGGCGGATGTCATCAATGTCAGACACACCGAGGAAACGAGTTTAGTATGGCGCAATGGCTCTTAGAGATGGATGTGATGCAGGACGGGATGAACTCCCAGCTTCGTATTGGGTATTGAGCATCGTGGTGTTGGCTGGGAAGCCGGAACTGCCCATACCTCGTACTGTTGGATCGTTTCTCTCTATATGATACGTCTCTTCCTTGTCTCGCCGGTCACCAGTGTATATGGGATACTTGTAGAAGGTGAGGATGAAAGGACGGTGAGGGTTGACAACCGAAGTGGCACCGTGAGTCGGACTCTCGCCATGAGCATGACGTCGCCTTGTGTGACTGAATTGGACTGTACGAGTAACTGACTGTCGACTGTCCTGACTCTTTGCCTGCCACCCTGCCTAGTCAAGTTCCAGGACTCTATATCGTGCACCCAGTCCGCCCATCGTCATGTCGGCCAAGATAGCAAAGACCATCGCGCGGCAAAAAGAGAAGTATGCCCTGACATTGCCCTGCAGAGAGCCAGCCCTCACTTACTCGCTTGTGCTGCAGAATCGCCGAGGGCAACTTCTACGAAGCACACCAGCAACTCCGGGTCATTACCGCTCGCTACCTCAAAGCACAAGACTACCCCTCCTCCTGCGACGTGCTGTACAATGGCGCCCTGTTGCTTCTTCGCGCTGGGCAGGGCGGGTCAGGCGGGGACCTTGCTGTCATGCTCATCAACGACGTCTACGTGAAGGGCGAATATCCATGCAACGACGAGAACAAGAAAAGGGTGTTGGAGATCTTCCATGCCTTCCCCAGCGAGGAGCCGACGCGGAAGCGGTTCGTCGGCGACATGGTGTCTTGGAGCGCGAAATACGGAGACTTGGAGCGAGGAGACGCAGACGTCCATCACGAGGTTGGGAAAGCGTTCGCCGAAGGTGAGTGGAACAGGATCTGACCCGGTCATGCACATGCTACAGTCCCGCTGACATTACATGCGTGGCTGTGTGTGTGTAGAAGGAGAAGCCTACGACGCCGAACGACATCTCATCATCGGCACATCAGCATCGGCTCCCATTCTCGCCTCGGTGCACTACAACTGGTATAAGACCGACCAGCCGCACCTCGCGGCCATCTACGCCTCTCGCTCGGTCCTCCCCTACTTGCTGGTCGGCAACCTCGCGTCTGCAAACCTCGCCCTCTCGACATTCACATCCCACCTGACCACGTCCAACCCGGCCCTGCTCGCCATGTCGCAACCGCTCGAATCGGCCAAATCGGGTCTCTCACTACGCATATTCCCATCAATCCCTCTCCTCAACTTTCTCGCCCTCTTGCTCCTTGCGACCCAGAAGGCCGACTCGTCGCTCTTCAGGCAGCTGGCGAAATACTACGCCCCTCATCTCAAGGAAGTCGAAGGTCTGTGGAGCGAAGCCCTCGCCCACATTGGAGAAATCTGGTTCGGCATTAAAATCCCCAGACAGTCAGGTAACCCGTTGTTCGACATGATGGGGAGTATGCTGTTCGGGGGAGGTGGTGGAGGCGGTGGTGCCAAACCAGGAGGGACGCCCAGGTCGGGAACGCCAGGGCCTGGCGGCGCAGCAAAGAAGGAGATTGAGAAGCCGCCGGCCATGGATCTAGACTGAGGTCGCTACTTACGCAGGACGGGAACTACGATCCGGCGCACCGGCGGCATGGAGTGTGAGGCAAGCAATCCTAGCTGAGGGGGGAAATGAACTGTCAGACCGGCCAGACAAGCAGCTATCCGGGCCTCTCGAATTGGATTATCCCGTCATCCGGTCTTGCTATTTGACAGTCCATCCACCACTGGTACGTAACTCAGTGTGCCGCGGCAGGGTTAGCAGATGATAACCCATCGGTCCCCCGGACGGAACCAAGAAAATACTTGCATCTCTGGATACTTTACACTCCCAGACAGCGAAGTACGGGCCTACAGTCTCATGCACGGTGCGAGAACGACCTCGAAGCAATATTTTATCATTTCTCTCGCATTGCATAAATGCGTCTGTAGTCTTCACACATGCATTGATACAGCTACCGTAGCTCATTGATGCATGACTCGTGGAATCATCAATCATAAGTCGTCAGCCTGTCACGCCGCGGCCCAAAACCTCGGTGAACGCCTACACTCGCCCAATGCGATCTGAAGACGCGCCTACCACCTGTGTTATAACAAGTGACAACGGAGAGTCTCAGTACAGTAGTCCCCGTATCACGCTGACCAAATGCTGCTCCTCGGTGACGTACAGATTTTCACACGCAGCCTCAGTCGTAGACGCCGACCTCGTCCCTCCCGACCATGGCGCCCATGCCCAGACTCTCGCCAAACATCCACGCCTCGTCCTCGGCGCGACCGACCTCCCGCCGTAGACTCCCCATGATCAGCCCCATCAACTCTTCCTTCTCCGCTTGGGCCTCGTCCTCCTCGTCCTCGTCCTCGTCCTCGTCCGCCGCTCCCGCCACGGTGCTCGACGCGGCGGATTTGCCCTTGGCGCGTGCCCGTTGCCGCGACATCATTTCGTGGAGGAGGCGTTCGATGCGTTCGCGGTCGCGCCGCTCCGAGTCCGACTCGTCCAGGGCTACGGCCTCGGCTTGGGCCCGGGCGGCGGCTACGGCGGCTACTTGTGCGTCCATGTGCGTGTGCGTGTGCGTATGCGTATGCGTGTGAGTGTGAGTGTGCGCATGACCATGTGTATGTGTATGTATGGTGCGGGTCCCGGCCACTGAGGAGGAATGCGGTGGGCCGTTCAGGTGCTGGTTTTGTCGTGCGCGATGGCCCGCTCGGCGAGTGGAGGCTTGGACGGTTGACTCGTGGAATCGGTCGTCGTTGTCATCGTCGTCGTCGTCGTCATCATCATCAGAGAACCCTTCCCCTGCCGCCATGGGGGGGTGATGTACTTGGACGTCTTCGTCGTCCTCTGCCCCGCCCTCGCCTTGACCGTCGTTCGTTTCGTCGTCCGAATCGGTGAGCCTCAAGCGGCTGGGAAGGACGGGCAGCTTGGGCAGCACGGGACGGCCGGTGACAGGGTTCAATGCAATGATGGATTGATTGGGAAATAGTGCGGCCGAGGAATGCGGACTGAGGGGTCGATTCGGCGAGACTGTCGGGTCGTACCTATCGGCCGCCGCGGCGCGATGCGGAGGGGATAGTTGTGGGATGGGAGGTGGGATTAAGGCTGCGCTGCTGCCATCGAGGACATTGTGGAAGGGTGATGAGCGTGGCGGTGACGGTGAGAGGGATGGGGTCGACACTGAGCGTTGATGGCTCCGCAAGCGCGGCAGCTGGCTCCCGTACTGCTGCTGCTGCTGCTGCTGCTGCTGCTGTTGTTGTTGTTGTGGTTGGGCTTGTGTCTGCGACGGAGAGTCCTGGGTGTCATTTTGCCCGTCTAATTGAGTTGGTTGTGCTCCGGAAGCCGGTCGGCGCGACAGATGTGTCGAGAACAGATTCCGGCGCACTGATCCTGACGTGACCGCGTTGGAGGTCGAGGAGAGGAAACTCGAGGTCGTGGGAGAGTACTCGATGGGGTCGCGTAGGGGGGACGGAGCCATGGCGGAAGTAGGTAATTATGTATGCCCCTACCTCATTCGCTGCGGGAGGAGAGTGTCGTTCTAGACAGGATACGGATACTGTGCTGCTCGCCGTGTTGAGTAAACAGCGTGATGGAGTAAACAAATACTCGACGGTGACAGTGAATCAAGACGCGACGTGAAAGTCCGCTTCCGCCAATCAGAATCACAGCTGCTCGTCGCCGACAGCTACTTGTACTAATTAACTAATTAACCCAAATACCGTCCACTTCATGAAGAGCAAGGATCATGTGGGTAGAACGTCCGGCGGGGCTGCTGAGATGCCAATATGCCTGCGCTGATCGGTCACTGTGTCTGAAAAGCTCGAGGTAGCCGGGGAGTCTCGACTTTTACATCTCAGTTTTCAACTGAGCAGGAGGGCAGCTGTTGCTCCTCCCAGAGCAAAGGTATGCAGCGCCCAAGCTACCCATTTTCTGGTGGCCACGGAATCTCTATGCTTAGTGGATGATGCCCGTCAAGAGACTACTGAAGTAAGTCACATAACCATGAGTATGAGCTTGCCTTCGCTGTCTCAGTATCGTCGACTACAGAGCAGGGTCTCTTCGATTAGTGTATATCACCACAATCGCTCTAGGTACCTCAAGGAGGAGGTGGAGAGTCCGAATTACAAGACAATGGAGCTTGTGCTACACCAAGACCATGTTGATCGGGATGGACTCAGTACCTCTGTAATCGAATGTATACGGAGGATCAAGCCCTTCTCTCCCAGATTCTTCGACTTTGGTCATTCCTCTCGGGTCTACAAGCACCGTAAACTCAGTGGTTGAACATAGAGACATTCTAGCGGTGAACATGGCTTCATTGACGAAGACGTCGTCTCGGAAAAAGTGATGAGATACGCGGGGAACTGTCTACAGAACGAGTTTATTAGGCCCATGACTCAACGGAAAGCGCATTCGACACAGCTCATTCACAATCTGGAAGGAAAGTCGCAGGCCGATCCGAATGTTCTTCCATTCTGAACAACACTGCGCATGCTGGACTGGCAATGACGAAGAGCCCGGCGGTCTCGAGTGAGAGTCGGAGCCAACACAGTGTGGCAATGCCTGACAATTTTGAGAGAGACGACGATGAGGAGACTGAGAGCGGGTTGAAGTGTCATCTGAAGTCTCTTCATCGTGCCTCTGTGTATGAGGTACTCGTTGGTACCTCGTAGTTGAGCCTTTTCTCCAAAAGTGTGGGAATCCCATAACGACGGCTGTCTTGTTCAGATTCTAAGACTTCTCTTCTCAGACACTTCCCAAAGTCGACTCAACTGAGAAGAAGTGAGATAATTCAACGGTCTCGATGGAAAGAACAGCGGGCACGATTCAGCTGTCATGGCATGACTACTGTAGTGACATCCTACACAAGTTCGACACAGGTCAAGAGAACTTCGGGCGAAGATCCTAACCACAACTTGACCGTCTCCAGGACCGGCACTGTGAAAGTGAGCTTTCAGCATAAAGTCTTGACAACCTTTGATGACGGCGCAACCTTGTAGAAAATGTTGCACATGATGTGCGCAATGTCCTGGTCATATCACTCTCAGTCCGCATTACTCACTTGGGAAATGGGCTAGCAATAATCACAATACTTTGCAGCCTTCACAGGCACTTGGTACCCCAAGCAGTGATACTCAAACTTGCAGACTGCAAAAAGCTCGAGGAGAACTAGAATTCATGCATGCAGGTGGATATCTCCACTAGGCTCCGTATTGTACGCGCAATTGGTCCGTGCATTATCAGAGCAGCAACTTTCAATTGGGCGATCACAGTGATTGGTCGGATTAGCTAGCGCCCTCAGCGCTATTACTATGCCTACTTAGATAGGTATGTTGTGGGTATCGGTACGCACATAATGCATAACCCTTTGGTGCAGCGCAGGAGTCGATGAGAAGAGTGCAAACAAAGTCACGACGTATCAAGTTACGCTACAAACATGCAGCTGCCGCAGATATCTGGGGCTTTGGCCATCTTGTACCTCCGAATGAGTATCGGCACGTTTCTGTGGGAAGAGGCGACACTTTCCGATGCTTCTTCCCCCTCTTCATTGCGGATGAAGAACTTGTCCGTGCCGTCCATACTACTGGTAACCGAATCACGTTTGTTGCTCGAGGATATTCTTCAGATTAACCCTGCAACAAGAGCGACGGCTGTTCCAATTCTCTGGATTCGTGAGCGAGAAGCAATCTATCCTCCAGGACATAATCGGACAACACGGGAGATATATAGCCCTCATCCTGCGGAGTGGCGTAGCAGGTATTATATGTTGGATGGCTAGAAGTTCCATGACAGGACATTGAATATCTGCGTGGTACTACATAGACAGGGGGTTTGCGAGTGCAATCGGCTTCATGGTCACGGACTGATGTGGTTGGTAAGCGAAGGAGCTCTTACGAACTGCTTTATGCACCCGGCGATCGCCTTCAACCACGTTACCTTTGATACGGAGTACTCTCCACGTCTATCGTGACCAATGTTGAAGGGACGAGGGTGAGCATAGGCCGCATCACCCTCGCACAGGGTTGCGGATCGAGCCGTCCAGGATGATTTGTGCCTCAGAGAGCTGCAACGCTTGGAGGAACGCCCGGATAGGAAGCGCGTGATGGTTTTGGTGAGGCCATTCTTCGACGGATAGAGAACGGATATGCACAGAGCGGAGGAAGATGCAGCGTGAAGGGACAGGAAATAGGACGAGGACAATGCGAAGTTATCATGCCACGACCTTGGACCATGGCGTTCGAAACTTCCGCCAAATGGAGTAGAATGAAATGCATAGTAAGGCGCCGGAAACGAAACGATAACGGTACACTTTTCATCTTCAGTCTTGCTTCAGTCTTCATTTTTCATACATGACACTTAACATGGAGGGCCCAGCATTTCCCGCCACGGTGCTTTGGCCCTCTCCGAGGTGCAGTCTATTTCTTCGCGCTGAAAGAAAAGATCGCACCATCAAAGGTCGGGTATCTCAAGAACATTAAATCAATAGTCGGCTGCCTCCTTCGGCCATCCATGTCCAACACAAACACACGCGTACACTCACACATCACTCGAGATCCTGCCCCTCGAAAGCCGGAAGTCGCTTCGCCACGTCATCCCAGGTCTCCTCTCCGTCGACCAAGCTCTTCACAGCGCCGATGATGTCGTCCTCACTGGCCCTGACTTGCTTGGTGGAATCGCGTTCCCGCAGCGTCAGCGTATTGTCCTTGACGGTCTGGAAATCAATCGTGATGCCGAAGGGTGTACCGAGCTCGTCGTTGCGAGCGTATCGCTTGCCGATACTGGCGGACGAGTCATCCACTTTATTGGACACCCCGACGCGTCGGAGGCGGGTGGTAAGCTTCTTGATGAAAGGCTTGAAATCCTGATGGCCGGACAGGGGGACGAGCAAGACTTTTGTCGGCGCAACGGCAGGGGGGAAGGAGAGCACTCCGCGAGCGCCGTCTCCTTCACGAACCCAAAAGACGTGTTCCATCACGCTGTAGAGGATGCGGCCGATACCAAACGACGGCTCAATGACGTTGGGCGTATACTCTCTTACGTGCTCCGTTCGCTTCCTCTTCTCAATCTTGATGAGGTCCTTCTCGAGCTCGGTCTTTCCACTGCCCACACCTGGCGTGTCAACTTCGATCTTCCCGTTCTGTTGCAGCTCCATCGATAGCTTTTCGCGCAAGTCTTGTGACAGAGCATCCACAGCGGCTTCGACCGCTTTGGCATCCTTGCGGAATTTGGGTCCAAGCTTCTTACGCTCCAGATCAATTTGGTATTCTTCTATGACGAGGGGTTGGGCTCGGGTTTCGCGGACGACGAGCGGTGCGCCGGTCTTGTTCATATGCACCGTCAAATCGTAGGCGCTGCGGTCCGCGCACCCGACGCACTCGATCCAGCCGTAGGTGGTGAATAGTTCGGCGTCCCAGCAGTCTGCAGCGTAATGTGCCATTTCGTTGGCCATGTGCTGGCGGAACCGCAGTTTCGAGGGCTCTACCCCGAGTTTCAGCAGGAAGTCTTGAATTCTGACGAGAAAGTATCCGAGGGTTTGGTTGTCGACTAGACCGGTCGAGACGGCTTCCCCAATCGTGACTGTATCAGGCTTTGTGCTTCCGGCGAGCTGGGTCTTTCTGTTCAAGAGGGACAACTTTGTGTCTTTGACCTCTTCGAATCGGGGATGCTTCTTTCCGCCTTCTGGGTCCACGAAATGTTCAATCTCGGCCATCAAGAACTCACGGACACGGAGGAGCCCGGATCGCGGGGAGATTTCATTGCGGAAGGACTTTCCAATCGAGGCGGATGCAAAAGGCATTGACTGCTGATTGAATTCGAGCAGCTTCTGGAAGTTGAGGAATTGTCCCTGAGCAGTCTCGGGGCGGAGGTAGCCGTTGGGTTTATCGGCGCTGGGCCCAATCTGAGTTTGGAACATGAGGTTGAAAGCCTTGGGAGGCTCGAGATCCGCTCCAGTAGTAGGGCCCTTGATGTTGTACTTTTTGATCAACTCTCCGAGCTCATCACCTCCATAATTGTCAATCTTGGCCAGAGTCTCCTCGTACTCCTGTACCAGCGCATCGTCGAGCTTCTCGACTTTTGCTTCCTTGGTCTTCTTCTTTTTCTTGGCTTCTTTGGCCTCATCAGCTTCAACTGTCTGGCCACGCGCAACCTTATCCGCCTTCAATCGGTCCTCGAGCACGCCCTCAACCAGGTGATCAGCACGAAAGATCTCCCCGCTCTTTGGGTCCTTGCACATCCAGTCGGCGAATTTGTCCACATGCCCGCTGGTTTTCAGCACCGCCTCCGGAGTCAGCATGGTACAGTCAACCTCGAGCATGTCTTCTTCCAGGACGAAGTGCTTCCGCCAAAGGTCGACGACATTGGCCTGCAAGGCGCATCCCGGGGGCCCATAGTCGAACAACCCGCGCTCTCCGCCGTAGATCTCGAATGAAGGGGTATAGAACATGCGCCGTCGGAGGGTAGTCTCGATGACGGAGCGATCTAGCACGTCGCCGGTTCTTGTCGTAAAGTCGGCCATTTTAAGGTCTACTTTGGTGGGTTGGAACTTTGCAGCACAAAATGAAGTGGTGGAAAAAGATTTAGTGAATGGAGAAGAGAAAGTGAGAAGCGCTCTGAACCGAGAAGACAAAGCGCGCATGTAAAGGAAGAAGAGGAGGTGACTCAACGTGACTCCTGAGGTGTTTATGACTCGAAACGCTGATGTTGCTGCGCTGCCCCCAGAAACGTTTTGCACAAGGTGCGTGACTAAGATGGACTAGCGCAGCCTCGTGCTCGACTTGGATGGCAGCCTTGCAGTGTGGGGATGCGATCTGCCATTTTCTCCACAAAAAATTCTTCGACATGCAATCGGCCTTCTTTCACATACGCAGTCACCGCCCGCATCAACTGTCGAAGGAGCGAGCTTGACTTAGTCTTCCTTTTATGTGCGTCCAGGCTGTCCAAAATGCCCACTCGAACAACCAGACTCTCTGACAAAGCCGCTCTCCCTTTCAAAACATCCAACAAACAGCGGCGACAAGAACTGCACATCAAGCAGAAGCGTGCCCGAGATGCACTTAAGCGAGCAGACCGGTTCAGCCGCAAGAAGGAAGAGGCAAGGAATCCTAAATTACGAGAGGAGCGGTTACGCAAAAATGTGCCAGCAACTTTGGACAGAAAGAGAGTTTACGATGAGATCGCAGACGAGCCGGAGAATGGTGGTTTAGGTGTGATTTATGACGTGGAGAGGCTGAAGAGGCGGAAGTTGGCCGAGGAGCAGGCATTGGAGTTCGGTGGGGATGGAGACGAAGGAGCAGATGAGCCCGTGGATAACGAGGACAACGACTCTATGCTGGAGGAAAGTGACGAGGAAGAGGATCAGAATGAAAGCGACGAAGACGACCGCGAGTCGGATGACCTCGACGATCTCACCCAAGATCCTTTACCCTCTAAAAAGCAACTGCAGTCCAAGCAAAGACAATCTCGCGCCCTTTCACCAACGCGATCCACGACCTCGACGAACCTCTCTCTCGCCCCCTCCGCTCTCGCCGCAAAGTTCCCCTCTCTCTTTCTCTCACCAGACTCTCCTCCACCACCACCGCCCAAAATACTCATAACGACATCAATTAACTCCAACCTGCATGACGAAGCCGCTCTCCTGACCGACCTCTTTCCCAACAGCAGATATATCCGTCGTTCCTCGCACCGCTATGGTTATAAATTCTCCGTGCGCGAGATATCCCAGTTCGCAAGTAAACACGGGTACACAGCTGTCATCGTCCTCGAGGAAGCAAATCACCGCAAACAGCCCGGAGGCCTGACGATCGTGCACCTCCCAGCGGGTCCAACGTTTCACTTCTCATTATCCAATTGGTACTCTGGCAAGCAGATCCCAGGGCATGGACGACCGACACAGCATACCCCGGAACTGATGTTAAACAACTTCACCACGCCGCTGGGTCTGTTGACAGCTCACCTGTTCCGCTCGCTCTTCCCACATTCACCTGAATTGCAAGGGCGGCAGGTCTTGACGTTGCACAATCAGAGAGATTATATTTTCCTTCGGCGGCATCGGTACATTTTCCGCGCGAAACGAGAAACAGAAAAATCAGTGGTAGGAGCAGACGGCAAGGAGATGAAGGGTGTTGAGGAGATACGAGCTGGGTTGCAGGAATTAGGGCCCAGGATGACTCTGAAGTTGAGGAGGATCGACAAAGGTATTCATCGAGCAAGTGGCCAGGATTGGGAGTGGAAGAGTAAGATGGAGAAGGTGAGAACCAAATTCCAGCTGTGATTACTGTAGAATGGATATCCTCCGCAAGACCCTCCAAGAAAGTGGCTTGACGGGAATTTGAAGAAGGTGCTTGATCCATTTCCCCGATAGCCCTTGTGCCTGTGCCTGTGCCTGTGCCTGTGCCTATGTCTGTGCCTGTGCCAACCCACCGCCAGCGGCTATCGCTAAAACCGCCGAGTCGTCCTAGCCCGGGCGAGAATATACCTAATTGTCGGGAGCAAGCAACTGGCGGATGCGGCCGACGGTGCCTGTCTAGATTTCTAGTCTCCGGGACGAAGCCCTTGCAAAGTATGTAAGAAGTCGAGCTTCGTGAGGCCGCGGGAGACAGAGACAGGCATCCCTCTGAAACGCGGAGCAAATCACGCAGGACGGTTCGCCAGCTAATCGATGTTCCAAGTATTGAGCAGCTCGGTCGTGACCATCACTTTCTGGACATTGCTTGTGCTTAACATCGGACTAGGCCTAATTAGGTCTAGCCCTACTCTATACACACTATTTTCTCCAAGACTGAGAAGCTGCGATGCATATGGCAAGTTTGCTAGATTCAGTGAAAGGACAAAGCGGAAGGGTATAGACAGGGAACAGCTCGCATGTCAACTGTAGCATATCGACATGGGCGGCCACGACTGGCTGAGGGAGGTATTATGTACTATACCATTCGTGGATCCCTGTATTCGACTAGTCGTTACGGTGGATACGGTGGAGTACTAGGTACTGAGATAGGTATGTAGCAGTCGACGCCCATTCATGATATTCAGTATATCGCTGTGATGACCAAGTTACGGATATCTAGAGACAAGGCGGGGACTCTGGCTAGGATCGTGCGTCGAGGTCGACATGGGTACGAGTGTACACAGCACGGTACAGGTGTCAGAACTCGAACGCTTACCTCGTACGATAGAGTACTAAGTTGTCAGCCTTGTAGAACTACTAGTATACTGCCATCTCTCTGCTCCGTCCATGGGCGGTCCTGATTCTCCTGGACGCACCAGCGGTGGGCTCATACAGGGAGTGGGATGCCTCTCATGCAAATCCGCACGGGCGTACGAGTAACAATCGCCAGGTCCTCTGGTGTCCCACGTGGCCACGTGTCTTACAGGACGGGTCGGATCTATTGATTCTAGCGAGTACTGTGTATGTAACCCGCAATCCCTTCTACTGAATAAGACCGAAGGCCCGGCATGCCTGGCTCTTACTGCGCACACTCTGCCCCCCTAATCCCTTTTCTCCATGTACGGTAGACAGGCCTCATAAATCTCCTTGTAAACCGGATACTTCATGTGTCTCTGGAAGACTTCTTCATCCACCACCCTCGCACACTGCAGGGACCCGGCAATGAAGAAGTCAGTATAGCTGGGCCGGGCGCCCAGCACGAACGGGCCCTCGGCCTTGTTTGTGCGCATCAGGTCTCCGACGGCGCGCATGCCCTCGCTCACCGCGTCCCACGCCTTTTCCTCCTTGTCGGCGTCGAGCAGATCTTCGAGCGGGTGTCCCAGCGAGGTCTCGCGCGTGCGTCGGAAGTACTCCTGCGCACGGGGAGATAGGATGCGTATCTCCCGTGGCATCACTGAAGTGCGGAAGGCCAGCCCGCCCACGGTGCGTGCTTTGGCCTCGACCTCCCTTCCTAGCTCCGACGTCAGCGGTACCGGCGGGTCGGGGTAGGTTGACTCGAGGAACTGTGCGATGGGTGTCGAGTCCATCATGTATGTGTTGGTCGGCACGTGGTGGATCGCCGGAACCGTGTATCGCCCTGCGGCGGATTCGGGGGGAACCAGGCCGCTGCGGAGCTTTTGAATTAGAAGATTTTGGCGCCATGCATTAGGACATGCAGAGGAGGAAAGAGGTCAGAGGAAGAGATAGGAAGTGACGACGAGGCCAAAAATCATAACTTACAGCCCTTTCAGCGTCGGCTCGATGTCCGGGAATTCCAGAAAGACGGTCTTGTAGGGGATTTGCTTGTAGTTAAGCATGAGGCGGATGCGCCAGACAACGGGAGAGAAGCAGACGTTCTTGGTACAGGCCAAGTCATACAAGACAATCTCGGCTTCACGGTGGTCGGCCATGTTGTTCTGGTACCGTGGCCGAAATGGAGGATCAGTGGAGGAGATAGTAATGTGCAACTGTAGGTGGAGCTGCCTTACGGTCTATTTAAATGTCGTCGTCCGTCCGGCTACTAGCACAGAACCTCATTATGACCAATGCTGTGAGGACGACGCGTGGATGCCTAGTTACACTGCACATATCTGATATATCCGAGTACGAGGACAATACGTCCAAGCGGTTCAGGGCCTGTTCAGGGGCAACAGGCACCAGGGATGGACATGGCTACGTCATTCCGCTCCACGGCCACGGAGACGCCCGTTGTAGGAGGTACTCCGTACACATGAAAGCAACACGAGCCATGGCCAATGCAGCGCCGAAGTACGCCGCCGGTCTTCGCTGCCCGTTCGCCCCGCACAGAATAGAGAGCGGCAGGGTGAAAGGGAGCCAGCAGGCGAGTGAGGTGGACGTCCACAGTGATTGCCAGTAGGGTAAGAGACTCTGCATGGCGACTACTACGCCCTTTGGACGCCAGATGCGCGACGAGCACTTCGCCTTCGCGAAGTCCTACACGCCCCTCAACCATGGCTCATACGGCGCCTTCCCACTGGCCGTGCGCTCGTATCAACGTGCAATCCAAGAGCAAACCGAGTCCCGGTCCGATCGATTCATCCGGTTCACGGCTCGCTCCCTCCTCCTCGAGTCCCGCTCCGCTGTGGCCAGCCTGCTCAATGTTCCGCGGCAGACGGTCGTCTTCGTGCCCAATGCCACCACGGGCATCAACACCGTGCTGCGGAACCTCACCTGGAACGAAGGCGACGTGATCGTCTACTTCAGCACCGCGTACGCGGCGTGCGAGAAAACCGTCCTCCACGTCTGCGAGACCACGGCCGCGTCGTCCGTCCGCATAGACGTGTCCTTCCCCAGCGAGGACGACGACCTCGTCCGTCTCTTCAGGGACACCGTCCAAGGGATCAATTTGCAGCGGGACAAGCGCGTCCGAGTCGCCATGTTCGACACTTTGTGCACGTTCCCCGGGGTCCGGCTGCCCTGGGAGGCGCTGGTCTCGGCGTGCAAGCCGCTCGGCGTGCTGAGCCTCGTGGACGGCGCCCATGGCATCGGCCACCTTGACCTCTCCCGTCTGGGCCAACCAGATTCAGATCCGGACTTCTTCACGACGAACTGCTACAAGTGGCTGTTTACGCCGCGCGGGTGTGCCGTGCTGTACGTATCAAGACGCCACCACCACCTCATTCGCACGACATTCCCGACGTCCCACGGCTTCACACCCCTGGAAGACGCGCATGGCCTGACCTCGAACAGTTCGGACGACGACGACGACTACCTTGGCGATCTGTTTGCCTGGGCCGCCACCGTCGACATGAGTGCCTATCTGTGCGTCCCGGAGGCGATCAAGTTCCGGTCGCACACTTGTGGTGGTGAAGCCGCCCTCAGAGACTACTGCTTCGGTCTTGCACGAGAAGGCGGCAAACGTATGGCCGGCATCTTTGGCACGGAAGTTCTAGATAATCAGACGTGCACGCTGAGTCAATGCTGCTTTACTATGGTCCGGTTACCCCTGAGCTTTGCGGTCGAACCGGACGACCGCACTGGCTCTGGTTCCGTCACTGGCACCCGTACACCCACCGAGTGCAGCCCTCCCATCTTCCCGCCCGAGAGAGGCCCCGCACTCGCGAAGGCCATCATGGACAAGCTGATGACGGACCACGACACGTGGATCCCGGCCATGTTCTACGGGGGCGCAATCTGGGTGCGAGTCAGCGCCCAGATATACCTCGAAATGGCCGACTTTGACTGGGCCGCCGAGGTGTTGGCGGCCCTGTGCAAAGAGATAAGCGATACCGGTGCTGGTTGAAGCCTACATAATTCACATTGCGGCACCGATACAACTCCTGGAGGGGCCTCAACGTTCGCTTGTGTCGGCATGAGAGACAGTACATGAATGCTGCGTATCCGGTCGCGACAGACTTCAACGCGGAAACATATCTTTGGTGATCCTCCTCAATACCGCCAGGGATTCTTCGAGGAAAGGATGTCATATAGATACAACGAGGCACTCTAACACAGCAGGTCTTGCCAGTCAGAATGGGGCCCATGGCCCGGGTGTATCATCCACCCGGCTGCGTAGAAATATTCCGGTCACAGCCATCAAGGCTGCCCGCGGAGTTCTGGACTTAAACCAGCTCGCTCACACATCATGAAAAACCCGGAAAACACTTGCAGATTATAGCTCGGCTTCCGTGCTGTCAAGCGTTCCACGTCTCTGTTATCCAGGGTCCATGAAACAGCCGCATTAAACTGCCAGTGCTGAGCCAATGTACAGCTAGAAATAATTTCAAAGCGTCGTAGCAGGGACATCTTCCCTATTGCTCCCGTGCTACCTCTTCTCCCTTTTCTTCTTGTCCACTACAGTCTCTAAAACCTCTAGCCTCTCCTTGGTGATCCGAATTGCATCCTCCAACTCCCTCTGGCTGATTTTCTCCGCTTTGATCTGGTCTTCCACATCTAGACTCGATGCAGACTTCGGACGTCCTTGCCTCTGTTGCTTTAACTTTTGCTTTGCGAGGACACTGGCCTCGTTCTTGTTGCGGCGCTGATTCGCGCCAGACTGCTGTCGGAGCACGACTGTGTCAACGCTCGCGCGAGACTCGAGCCAGTCCCAAAACTCGTTCTCTTCCCGCACCCATATGCTGTCGTATGCTGCCATCCGACTGGAGTGCGAGCTGTGCGGACTTAATTGGGTTGAGGTGCTGGGTCCACGAATCCACAAAAGCACGACCATAACACACAGTATTGCGACAACGGCCTCCATCTTCAGCACCGGCCTTAGGATGTCGGTCACGGGCGTGAGAGGGCCTCTCAATGGCTCGAAGACGCCCCAATTTGGAGCTTGTGTCTTTTCCTCCTGCTGGATCTCTTCCTTGGCTTTCTTTTCACCTTTGCGCTTCTTCTTGATCAACTTCGATCCCTTGCTGGCGTTGGTCGTTCCCCTAGGACGGCCACTAACCGCACTCTTGAGCACCTTCATCAGCTGGTCACCATATTGCTGCTGACCATCAGCGGCACCCTTTTCGATTGGTCCTTTCAGCCATGACTTTGCGGTCCATTCGACTGTACAGTTCATTTGCAATCTGGTTTGATTGCCCGGAGCCCAAGAGAGACAATAGCGAGTTTTGGTGCTGAATGCGCTTCCGCTGGGCACATCAGGCGTCTGCGTGGAACATGTGACGCTTACCGACTTTTCTAGATCAAAGGCATCCAGATTTTCCGTCGTGATACATTTCGTTTGCTTAGGGCCAATGCTGCCGCCGAGCGGCTTGATATACGAATACTGCCGGCTTTTGATGTCGTTGTTTAGGCCTTTCTTATCGTCCTCGAAGACGACTTCTGTGCATTTACACTCGTCGGCCAAGAACTTGCGGACGAAAAAGCCCGACTCGGGACCATACAAAAGAGAGTATATCTTGCCCAGAGGAGCAGGGATAACCTCATCCTTGATGATCTTGTCGTAGTGGGTGCCGCCGTCCGAGCATTCGGTTGGTACATGTGTTGCTGGGCCAGGGAAGTCCTTAGCTGCCTCGGGCAATCCAGCTTGGGCAGCAAGGGGTTGTGGGACATCGCCCGCTGTGCCCGCCAGAATGCTAGCCGTTTGAGCAACAGCGCTTGCATTCATGCCAGATGGTTTCCTAGACACAACCTTGGCATCCGCAACGTCGCTGCCAGCAGCACTGGCACTGCTGTCCAAAAGACTCGGGGCGCTGTCATCGTCTTCGGAACCTGATTCTTCAGTAGTGCTCCCCTCACTAGGTTGACCACTTGCTCCATCTTCTACCACAGGAGCAACACTGGCTTCCTCGGCAGCCAGCTGTTTGCCGTTGATACTCTTCTGGAAACTCGCTGGGTGGCTGACACGCCATATTCCAATGAGCAGCTCGTACGTCTGCTCTCGGTAAAGCAGACTTCGAAAAGTATGACGCGCATGCAGCGTCTGGATGGCAATGGCATTTGGAAACACCACAGCTGTGCTCTCGCGCTCTATGCTTACCACTTCCTCGAAGGAGATGACGACCGTCGTAACCCAGCCAAGGATGTTGCTGAAGAAGCATATGTGGCCCTCGGATATGTAAATCCTGCCGGCTAACAAAATCTCCTTCTGCAAGGCACAGCTGTAGTCCTCAATCAGATAGTCATCCTCGGGGACACTTCGAAACTGCTGATGAAAGTTGCGATTGCGCTGCTTGGGAGCCATTGTGAAGCCGGTCAGACGAGGTCCTGTAGCTGGGTTCGCCAACGTCGCAGTGCTAGCTCCTATCATAGCCCCAATGGCGGACTGACCCGTTGCAGTGGACGAGCCTCGCGACCGGCGCTTCATTTTACTGCGGACGCTACCCGTTCGTTTGATCGATCCCACTTCGCTCTCAAAGACACTGCCATTGGGAGGCGTCCGCTCTCCGTTGTTTGCTGCGGCGATGTTTTGGGCATGCCTCATGCTACTGCCCAACGGGTCTGGTATCTCGGCCACGGGCGTTGATGTGGCAGATATTTTCTCATATGCAGCTGAGACTGCGCGTTTAGCAAGTGTGTCCTCCACCTTGGCTGCCGCCACGTCTTTCTCGAGCGTGCTGTCTTTCCGCAGCTCGGAAAGCTCGGATTTCGGGGCAGACGCACCCGCATCGTCGATAGTCAAACCCAAATGCTCAAAATTAAGGTCTCCTGACCCTAGAGTCTCCACCGCGAGCTGTCTGCGTAGTGTCTCGGGCTCGGACACTTCCTCTTCTTCTTTGATGGGTTCTTCGACGGTTTTTGGTTTAACAGCTGGGTCCGAGGCATTGGTACCTGAACGATTGCGATTTTGGCCAGTCAGGTTTGTTATGGTCGTCGCAGCATTTTGTGCTGCAGATACCCATGAGGAGAAGATGCCCCCCGATGGTGTTCTCTTGTCGTCCGTGGGCGTCAAGGGCGCGGTGACAGAGGTAGAGAGCTTGCTGGGTTGATGTGTCGTGGAGGACGTCGACCGAATCCTCCGATGTGAGATCATGTTCCCAGATGAGCTTACCACGATGTTCGAGCCATCCGGTCCGGCTCTCGCAACTGGCGTTTCCGACTTCGGAGACCCTGTTGACCCTTCAAACCGAGTATCGGTCGGAGTCGGAGGTGTGACGGTCGTGACGGGGGTGTCGATGACGCGTGCAGGAGGTGTAAGTGGTCGGAGGGAAGTTTCAAGGTTCGGCATCGAACTGGTTTGAGGTATAGCCGGCACTGGTGGCACTGGTGGAGGTGCATCAACGGGCTTGGGCTCATTGTTGGCCTGTACCTCGGTGTTGGATCGCATAATGCTACTCTCATTGCCTGTGGCACCCATGGCAGGCATGGTTTCCCTCCTCTCAGGACTGACTTTCGGACTCTTACCCTGCTTCCCAAACACATCTCTAAACCTTCGTACGGGTGATTTGCCTCGAGTGCTGACGCTGTTTCTCCGAGAATCTGGCTGCAATGTGTCTGCTCGATCAACCAGCCCAGCTGCAAACGGCGAGGCTGGACCTGACTCTGGAACAGGCGTGGATTTCGGAGAAGGGGAACCAGAGACCTCTTCTGCAGGCTCAATCAGTGTGGGGATCTTGTCTATTGATAGTCCCTTGACGGGGCTCTGGAGACTATCGCCATCACTGCGTGTGGTTGTGGTGGATATCAGAGGCGAAGACATCGATGCGAATCCCGTATGAGAGTCACGAGTGACGAGAGGAGGCGTTTCGATTTCTGAATCGTCGGTGAGTAGACCCGCATCGGCCTCACCACCGTGGCTGCTCGCACGCCTACTCAAAGCAGGCTGCGGACTTGTCATGGCGCTCAAGCCAGTTCCAGTCCGTCCTCTGGCAAGATCTTCGACTGCAGCCTTCAACTCGGCCTCGCGCAGTCTCCTCCTCTGCCGCTTGCTGTGGCCAGGCAACAGCTTGCGCACGCCGCTACTGCCAGACTTGTTGCTACCATCCTGACTTATCGACCGTGCACTCTGTCTTGTGGGCGACTTTTCAATGGTGATCGAGTCGAGGGAATCGGTTCGCAGGTCTCGTATTGTCTCGTCAATGACGGGCTCTGATGAGCGGCGCCTGTTGGTGAGCACTTTCTTCAGACCCTTCAGCTGAGGAGAGGGTTCGGGCATCGTCTGGGCGACATGAGGGGAGGACGAGGCAGAGATTGCGGCCATTCGAGGGTTAAGGACGTGTTTAGAATCTCAATTGAAGTCGCATCGTCGTGACATCATGCGAACAATGAAGGCGGAGGAAAACGAGTGGCACGTGTATCCCTGTAGAGAGGGGCTTAACATGCAGTATCACATAGAAACCAATATTGATAGGATCGTAAATGTCGAAGAAAGAATGTAGTAGAACCGAAGGGGGGGGTGAGGACAATATGTCCGTCCTCACACCGTTCTCAGATGCTTTGGTGTCTGGTCGCTGTGGCTCTCGTTGTTTGCGTTCAGGCCGCCGCCAAAACTGTCAGGTCAGGGAAAGAGCTGTGCTGATTAGCTGACGAGAGCCGGAATGCAGGCGACTTCTTGGGGGTCAAATCGCTATTGGAAAGATGCAGCTGTCGGACGCTTGGTGGCTTGTGTCCTCCCTGAAAGTCAACAACGTATTCGGTAAGTGCTGCGCACAGAGTCTTCGCACGCAGCCTTTACGAGTACTCCGCCTATTTGTGCGGCGCTGCTCAATATGCCGCGTACTGGCTATGAGCGCGTGTGAGCTGTGTTCGGGGGTCGCCCAGGGGTGCCTGGAGCTGCAGCGAGCCCTTGCCGAAAGCGTCGTTGGGGCGATCGCTTCCTCCCGCGGCGCACTGCTCCTTCTGGTTGGCTCTGTAGCGTCTCGGCGCCCGTGAGGACCCGTTTGGGGGCCTTTTCTCCAAGCCTCGCATTTCGTCACTGCAGCCTTGTGACGTGAAGTTGTGACTTGGTTTTGCGGCACTGTCACAGCAGCAATCCCGAGATCAGGACAAGTGGAAGCCGAAGCGGAATGCAATGCGATGGATGCTTGTAACCTGCGTCACTAGGAGGAGGATTAGGACTTGAAGCCTTCTTAATTCTGTCCGGCGCATCGTCGTTGTCACGAACTAAGGATAAATGGACACGGCACCACTGACTCTCGTAAGCACCACCTCGAAGACAGATATATCGCAACTCCTAATCCTGTCTGTGCAGGCTCATACGCACGCGCGGAACGCAGCCCTCGAATCGCGCCGTCACAACCCGGTCGCAGCCAGTGAAGAACATGACCTGGCCGCAGCAGAGTTTGCTGCCGCTGCACAAGGGACATCGGACTCGGAAGCCCTTCGAGTGTTGAATCTGTTGGAGCAACATCACAAGAAACTGGGACAATTACTAAAGGCTGCACATGAGAAGCCGATTGTCAAAAGTAGTCCACCCTCAGCACCTGCAGATGATGGCGACAATCCCACTCCATCACCGGCCCCGCAAAAGCAGGAAACGGCCAGACCCTCTTCACCGGAGACGACTATACATGCGCCGAGATTGCCTAAAGGGTTGAGATCAAGTACGCGAGAGCTTTCATCCTCTATCGCAAGCAATCTAGCCTCTGCCAGGGGTATACCGAACAACCGCCAGAAGAGACCTACCCCGATATCTCCCTTGGTATCTACTCAAAATGCGGACGGTCACATCGCTCAGGATGACACGAGAGGAAAGATCTTGTCAAGAGAAAGCGCAGATGCGAGCGATGCCCCTATGTCGCGCTCAAAGCAGTCACAGTCACGTCCGTCGTGGGCTCCACCTCTATCGCCTACCAAGGCAGAATCAACCGAAAAGCCCGCCGAGCAAAGCTCCGATGCTCCCTTCCAGCAATTCTACGCGACTTTTGAAAGCCTCATATCCAAACTCTCCGCCCCGTTAGCATTCGCCGGCCTTCCTCTCACCACACCAGGCACCCCAAAAGCATCGCCAAAACCCTCGCTCCCCTCACCCAAGCAGCCCAAGCAGCCAGCCCGGCCGACCCCGGCACCCCCTTCGGTCGACTACAGCCAGCTCATCTCTCGCGCCGCGCTCCGTGCCGTCTCGGGCGGTGGCTCCACAAACCCCTCGGAATCCTTCTACGTCGTCCCTACCACCGGCGGTACAATCTCGTACGCCGAGATCATGTCGCGCGCCGAGCGTGAAGAAGCACGCGCCGGCTTGCGTGGCCATCATCGACAAGCCTCGAATCTCACCAACATCTCCGAAGACGACTTTGTAGACGCACAGAGCACGATCCTCCCCGCCCCATCAGGACCTCCCAGCCGTTTCCGTCGCGGCGGCCAGGAAGACGTCAAAGTCAACGGCAAAACCATGGAGGAACTCGCCCTCGAGAACCAAGCGCTCAAACACCTCTCCGACACTCTCTCCAAGCGGCTTCACGTATTTGAAATGTCTGCGCAGACCTCCTCCGCCGCACTGGCGCAGAGTATTCGCTCCCTGCATAACCGCTCGCCCATGCTCTCGCCCGAAAATTCACGTGGCAAACCGCTCAGCGGCAAACTGCTGGGCTTCGACAGCAACCCGTCCGGCCACCAAACGGACGAAGCCACACAGCGGCGTATCGCTGAGCTGGAAGAGATCCTGCGCAAGAGCGACGCCCGAGCGAGGAAGAAGGAGGAAGAAAACGTCAAGCTCAAGGAGACCATCACCAAGTATAGAGACAAGTGGGATAGTTTAAAGGCGGGGGCCAAGGCGCGTAGAGAAAGGGAGCGGGCGGGCAGACATGAGAGGACTGTCACGGAAGAGACCGTGACCGAGGCGACGGACGAGGTCAATGCCGGTGGCGGTCAACAGACCGGCCCGCAGAGCATGGCGGCTTGAGAGCGGTTCAGAATGGATCCCGTATTTCGTAAGATATGGGATGAGATGGCATGCCCGAACGGCATTGTAGTCTGGCTGCCTGCTGGCTGCGATGTCGCATGGATTGGGATCATCTAACTCTAGAAAATCTATCCAAGCCACAACGCTATATGGTTTAAACCTCGCTCGTTTATACGACAGAAAGACCTATTATTTACTAGAATTACTCTGGATCGTGCTATACATCATCTCCATGGTCAGAGCTGGGATGGACCCTCCGTCCTGCTACCACCGTGCCGATCATCTGCATCGTCCTGATCGTCATCTCGGTCTTTTCCGTGGCTTCGCGTCCGTCGGCCATGTCCCATCATTCCCGACAATGTCTCACTGAGGGCTCTTAACCTCGTCTTTCTCTTCCCCATGTCTTTCGCCACGTCTCCCTGGTCATCTTCACGCACCGTTCCCGATATCGTTTCGTGCGTCCGCGACCTACTCAGGTCCTGTGCGCTCTCCGTACTCCGATTCCGTTCCGCCCAGATCCCGCGAAGGGCGGCGAGTGGATCATCTCCGTCGACATCTTCAGTGATAGCTACGGTCCGTCGCCGGTCGTCCGTGGAGTGCCTTCCTGAGCGGGTGCGGCGAAGCGCGGCCCGCACAGAACGAGGTGCGCCTTCACCCTTCATGATGGAATCAGCGACTAAAGCGCTGAGGGAGTTGGATAGAGGTGCCAGCAAAGGACCAGGAATCGGAATGAGACGAGAAATGCTGCCGCGAGCGGAGCGAGGAAGAAAGCTGGGAGAAGGCGACGGATCGTCTGGTATTGGATGTGCAGAGCGACCGGGCGAGGCTGGACGAGGAGACACAGGTAACTTCGTGGGTGTCTGCGGGTCAGCAGGTGACGACGATGCGCGTTGAAGAGTATTTGACGTTGCGGGGGTAAAGAAGGGCGTGGCATCAAACTGAAGATTGCTGTGTTGAGGTGTCCGAGGTGGTGGCGCATCCACTTCTTCAGTGGAAGAGATCCAAGGGTTTCGGATGAAGTCTTCAGATGGCTCGGCGGGCGTTACTGAGATTGACGGCACATCGGACGATACCACCGATTGTCGTCGCGGTGTCACAGGACCGGCTTGTTCTTCGTCTCCGTCGGAGACTGTGGGCTGTTGGCCGACTGCTGCAGCTGCGAGCTGGGCAGGGTCCCGCGTCAACGGCGTCCGCTCGTCGATATCGTGTGCTTCCTCGTCCAGAAGACGGATACTCTCCACCTCGCCTCCACCTTCGTCTTCGGCTTCGCCAATCTCGTGGCGCTGACTTGTGATTAGATACACTCCAAAGAAAGTCAGTAGGCAGCCTATGACGAACTTGACAGCCTGGTCTGCTGTGGTATGCTCAAAGTCCCTGTACAGTACAGCCGATCCAATGATGACGGAAAGGGTGAATAGTACAAACTGAGTGGGTATAACCTGGGTGGAGTCGTAATTCTGCAAGGCTCGATTCAGATATCGAATCTGCATGAGCGCCGATCCGACGAGGATCAGGACCAAAAAGTAGAAAATGGAAAAGGTGAAGGCCTTGTATAGAGATGCGGAGAGGAGGGATGATACTCCTTTTGTGGAGAGAGCCGTGTAAGCGCCAAACAGAGCGACGAGGCCAAGGTCGACAAGGATGGTTTTACGACCGTATCGTGGCTCGACGTACATCAAGCCCACGATAAAGACAGCTGTGATGATCACGTAGAGTAGGAACTCCCATCTCTTGATGGTCTTCCATAATTCTCCGGGCCCAAACTTCGTCTCGGTGTTCTTGGCGGACAAGACGACGACGACAGCTCCGGCGATTGCAATCAGGACGCCACATAGATCCCGCCTACGGAATCGTTCTTTCAGCATTAGAGGGGCAATTAAACAGTTGGAGATGAGCGCAACCACGCCCAACGGGCTGACGATCGAGGCAGGTGCGAATCCATAAGCCAGAAAGTTGCCTGCTTCGCCGACAATCATCAAGACCAGGCCTAACCACCAATACGGCGATTTCAGATATGAAACCCTTCCAGAGTCATCATCTGCATCTTTCTCTTGGCTGTCGACCTGCTTTTTTGACTCGAAAGCTGGTCGGAGAGACCCGTCTGAAGGTTGATGTAGTAGATCGCCTGTCTCTTCGTCGACAATCTTCTGGAACCCGGATATCTCCAAGTTCTTCTTTCTCCTGTCCTCTGCTATCTCTTCCTGGTGGGATGTGCCGTAACCACCATTACGCATCAGGGGAGGGTGGCCGTTCGTCGAGGACTTGCGGGATTGAGAGTACTCGCGGTCTATTAGGATGTGGGCATATCTCTGGGTGTTCAGCGCAAAGGAGATCAGAAGATTGCCCACGATGGCGGTGATGATGCCAATGAGTGAGGACCATTGGTGGAGAGAGCCACCCGGAGACTGCGGTGCATCTTTGTTTAACCAACTGTCTAGTATCACTGTCGCGAGAGGATCAGGTAGGCGGGCAGGCGTGGGTGTGTGCATTGAGATGAGACGCCGTTGTCGGGACCCTGGCACTCTGTCATGGAAGTCGCCGGAAGTGGTGCAGCTGCGATTCGATAGCGAGACAGTGACATTGGAAGGTACCGATTTTAATCCAGAGAATGTCCTCCCATCAACAAGGCAGGGGTAGATTTGCAGATATTGATAGAACCGGAGCCATGGTGTCGTGCAAGGTAGCCTTCGGATCAGGCATTCGAGATCTTGCCCGTACAAATCCATTATGCACGTTTACGTCGCAGCGCAGGGAACTTGATCTTGGCTGGCCAAGCGGGGACTAGCGCTGCTTTAAGGGGCCACCTTCATCGCGACTCATTGACGCGGCGGCGCCCTTAAGGTTCACCAGGCGATCACTCCTCTTGTCTCTCCTTGTTGAATACTCTCTCTTCGTCGGGAGGAGACTTCAGAGCTCTTGCCAACCGAACATTCCGACCGACAGGATCGCCGTACCGAGATCTAGCTTCTTGAGTCACCCTTCCGCAGGCACATCCACGCCAACCGCTCCAGAGACTCGGAGACCCACCCGTTGCTCTCAAACTCCGTAAAACGCCCCCAACTATTCATTGCCAACAGCCGAGGCGCGAGCTGTTGCATGGAGTGATCTCTCTTCAGAATTTGAGGACTCTCCATTTGCGTTATGAAATCTGCAGTACGTTCTGGTGCTCGTTGTTGCCTTATGTCCAAATCCTCTGCGCCACACGCCCTTCGAGTTGTCTTACGTTCGGCGGACACATTTACACTGCCATATCACACCCAGGCTGTGTACCTTCTGGTCCGGACGAACCGAATCTACTTTTCAGATGGGCATCTAGGTGTTCCTCCACAGTCTCCACATGCCGAGCGCGGATCCAGACGGTGAGCAGTCACCGCTGTCGTACGCCGATAAGTCGCTTGGCCGTGACCATTCGCCAAGAAACTCCGACTCTGGAGACTTCGATGTCAATCTTACCTCCTCAGCCTTGCATGGACAACATGTACCCCTTCGTCGGGCAGTGAACCCGGCATCAAGTCCTGCCTAACAGCGCACATTAGACGCCTACCTTGCCGACTTGTGGAAGGCGAATATGAACACCAACCCTCTCCCTAAAAATCCAGTATACTATGCTTTTATGACATGGGACTCGAACGCCGCTTATCCACCACAGCCAGGACATTCATTTCCGGCAGCACGATCTCCAGGGTTGGTGGACTGACGCTGACTCCCTCCTGCCCCTGGTCCGATGCCAGTCTTATCGACACTCTGAGCATCTTATCATCCCAGGGCACAGCATTTCACTCCGGATTCGTCAGCCCTCCTCTGTGCTTCCTTCTCCACCCGAAGACACCTGTCCTTTAAACTTATAAAAGAAACTGCCAGTGTCTAAAAATCTAATATTTTCCCATCCGGCGCCACAGCTGGCCGCACACCCCTGAATCCGGCAGACTATCCGTGGAGAACAAACCGCAATGTAACTATGGTGACGTCGAGCCCTTATCTCTCCCAACCCTATCACAATCCCCAAGGGCCTACACCCAGTCATAACATCGTGATCGCAACACAGTCTCCATGACAGCTGGAATTCTGCAAGGTTATAAGAATACTCGCATAAGCCCCGGATCTGCAATGTTATAATATGATCCTCGCTACCGATCATACGGCATAGTCCACTCAACACCACATCACAGTTGTGCTTCCCGCAACAACTGCTATTCGTGCGAGTCTACCTCATGCCCTAGGCAGGCGACGATGTCTTTCCAGTGGTTTGGGAGGTCTCCTTGCCGCACTCAACAGGCTGTTCACAGAACGTTGCCGCCCAATTAATTGCGTCAAGGCGTACACCAGCGCCACATGACTAACAATCCAAAAGTCAGCCTGCTTTACCCCACCGGCTCTGGTGTGGCTGCGATGAAATGTGCTGCACCACTGGCTTCTACACGGCGGCTGGAATGTCCCTACAACACGAACTTCATCGGGCAACCATTTATACAAGAACAGCTAATGCTCTGCAATAGTGCACCTGCGGACACTTTAATACACGAGGCTTTAAGCCTTGAAATTGTTAAATGGGTGATGTTCCTGGTGCTCGCTCAAGAGGTTTCCGAATGCAGCCCAACAACCATCGAAGGCGGAGCTCATCACCCAAGGACGTGTTGGACGATCTGACAGCCTTGCAACAGGTAATCGAGCAGCCGCTCACGCGACTCTCGGCCACACTTCTGCAATGATTGTCACAAGGCCAACAGTGCCCTTGGGTCCGGCCATCAGCCATTGTGCGAGATCATGATTCTGCGGGCACCAGGTCTGGAGCGGCCAATCGCAATTACCACTCAAAAAGTTGACCGGATCAGTAAGAAGCCCATATTGCACCCAACGGATGGAGCCAGCGTGGATGCTGTGCAGTGCGTTTGTTGGGAAGAGATCACAATCAGAGTCAGTGGTACGGACAATGATCGAGTGTCGTCGGATCACAACCAATCGCATCTTCACAGAAGCTCCTGTCGCCAGCCAGATCAGGTTTGGAGTACGAGAGATCTGAGGAGATCGCGAAAATCACATGGCAATCGGCTGATCCTTTCCCAGCCCACCAAGGTCTCCACTAAGCACCGAACAGGTGTGCAATGGTTTCCCCAACAGTACAGTGGTCCAGCTTGATCGTGCGAGATCATTCGCTCAGAACTTGCTGCCTGTCGCGGGATCAGACCAGTCCTCACAGCATGGCAGTCCTGGGTGGCCAATCACTCGTCTGGATCATTGTGGTCGCATGAATTGTTGAGCTGCTGTTTTCCCCTCAGCGTGATCAAGTTGCTCGTCAAGCAGCTGCTGCTGCCCGCTGGATCAGTCCCCCAGCCAAATCTCCCGTCCTCAAGTAGGTCCTCCCTCCCCGTTCGTTTCGAAATTTTTTCTTCTTTCCTCAGACTCACGTGCATTACCACAGACAGCTTAACCATTCTCGATCAATCTCACACACGTTGTCAAGATGGGTTGTTTCTGCAGCAAGCAAAAGAACATCGAAGGGGAGGCAGCTTCTCCTCCTGTCAGAGTAACCCCCCTTCCCACTCCACAAGCCTCCATCCGATCCTCTGTGCAACCGTCGGTCCGATCTGGAGCAGCAGCCGGCAACCGGACGCAGGCGGCAAGCACAGAGGGCAGCGAGCACCCAAGAGTAGCAGCCGCGGGATCGGGGCATACTCTCGTGGGGTCTGGTTCGCGTTGTATGTCTAAGGCATCACCCACCGCTGCTCCCTCTGAACCCCCCGCTGTCGTCGTTCGCGGTATCACTCGCCTGGGGAAGGCGAGGTACGTCTGGCAGGACAGCGATGAATCGGGGTCAGGGGAGTATGTAGGGGGTGCTCTGCCCGTCGACGCGTTCGGGCCTTCGCCGAGGTATGTCTTCGAATCTCGGAGGTGAAGTGCTGGGTTGGCTGTGAGCTGCACGATGGAGATGAAGGGGGTGGGGAGAGGTTGCGATGATGGGTGGTAGAAACAGCGGTGCAAAAGTAGACGACGCACTCAGTACCACCGCTGGGCTGTCTCTCTGGAGAGACCTTTTCTTGCGTTGGTGCAAGTCCGGCCCAAAAGAAGAAGACGCGCTCAGTAAGCCTTGAGTCTCTGTGTGTTTGTTTTTTTTGCTGCGTTCCGCGAGGTAAGTCTTGTTCACTCCCTCTCTGTGATTCTTTGACCACGGCTGACCGAGACTTTAGTTGGCGTTTTGGTGTTTTGGCGTTTTGGCGTTTTGGCGTTTGGAGTTTTTGCTTTTTCATCATCTCATCGCCTTGTGCAATGGTTTGGAGAAGGAGTTCTCATACTCGCGACTACCCTGTCATTGACTCATTGCTAGTCTCACCCTTGCTTCATCGTCATATCTCACTTCTCATCCTTCGATGTCGCTGCCGCCCTCCGTGCATCATCTCTCTATCGTCTCCCCATCATCTACTCATCGTCTCCCCATCATCTACTCATCGTCTCCCCATCATCTACTCATCGTCTCCCCATCATCTACTCATCGTCT